TGGTATTTCAAGCAATCTATTAAGTTAGTCCCAGTTTCTACAAAAGATTCATGGAAGACGTAAAGACAAAGAAAAAAAACCACCCAGGTAAATAATAATGGCTCAGCAAACGATTTTTCACTTTGGGACTTAAACACAGGTAAAGTTTAGTTTAATTGTCCGAGAGAATGTTACTGAGTGTTTTCATAATAGCCTTGAGATGTGGCAGCTGATGACCTAGAAGTCAAACCACTTAAAATAATCCTGTAGAGAGCTGGAAAGAGACAGCTGATACATATTGTGCAATTTTCCACACAGGTGATCTCATAAATTTAGTAAAAGGCAAGTATCACAAAACTGAAGCAGAATTATCTCAAGGATAAAAACCCAAATGTGTAAGCACAACACTTAATTCTTCATTATTTGGGAGGTACCCAAGCTGCATATTTAATGACCAACCAGTTTTTACCAGTGTATTTCTGCCACAAAGAAGAAAACTCAATCTGCTGTGACACACAGAAAGCAGGGCTTTTATTAGGACAAACAGTGATGGCCTTAGTTAGGATACCTGTCCATTATGTGCACAGCTAGATTTGGAGTATATAAAGTGTATTCTGTACGCATTCCTGAAACAACCTATATAAGGAAGTTTTTTCTAATACAGAGGAAGGCTCTTGGATGGGCTCCTACTGCACATTTGCAATGAACTAATACTAAGTTTAGTAAAGTTCTTACTCTGGTTGTTGCAATGCACCTCACTGGTGATCTGTATTCTTCTTCCATTTTGGTCAGAGCTATGATGGTTTCAGCAATAGCATTCTTTGTCACACGGGACCAAGCTTCTGACAGATGACCCTATTAAAGAGGAAATTCAATTTATTACAGCTTTTATTAATATTAAGAACAACTAAAACTGTAATTAGAACTGCTATAAGCAACATTAGGTTAGGTTCTTAAGTCAGAATAGAAAAAAAGAGGAAGTCAGGGATGACTTTTACCAGATCTGTCTGATTTGAAAACACCTGATTTGTTAAGTTCCCAACTCAGAGACTGCTGAATCCTTAAATTCTTAATGTTACCTCTAAATTTCTAACCCTCACACTAAAGATAACAGAAATACTTGAGACTCACTGACTCTGAAAAGGAAGCTAAACATTGCAAATGCTGAAAAAGTTAAGTGAAAGGAATCACATTTGTAGCTCTTGCGAAGTGGCTAGTAAGACTGACGTCACCCTACTGATAATTAGCAGCTCTAAAAATCTTCAAAGAAAGGTTTGTAGACTAGAACCCCTGTGTTCCTCTACCTTCTTTTGGGTAACAGGGCCGAACCCCTGAAAAAATGTTAAGCATGCCTAAACCACACAAGTCCCTTAGAAAATGTAATCAAGAAATGCTCTTACTCCCACCCCTGAATGGCCTCAGTCAGGTCTCCCTCACCTAGAATGAAAGGGAATGAAGTTTAGATCTCTTCTTAATAAAAGAGGAGAGGAAGGTCCTTACTGTTTGGCTACTGAATACTTTAAACTCAGTCCCAATCATTCCTTTAGGAGCTGCTACACTTCATGTAAGCAATTCAAACCTACTGAAAGAGGGATTTATATCCACATTTGAGAGGACTTCACTTTAGCTGACTGATTTGATCCCTTCCTTTTTGTAATATATAGTTACATATTCATTCCAAGTAGAATGGCTTAAGCAAGAGAATTCAAGACAGTAACACCCAACAGCCAGCACTACTGCAAAACTACCAGGTATGTGGGAGACTGAGCCTAGCATACTCTGGATATGCATGCAAGTTGCCATAACTGTCTATAGAGGTTTAGGAACTTTCCTACTAACTTCTCCAATGGTTTTGGAGAACCAGATATTGGCAAATGCAGCAGTATTACAGGTGAAGGTCTTGAATGGTTGAGGAGCTCCTTAGACAAAAATACAAGCACCTGATTCTGGTCAGACAGCATTTTCTATTTCTACTAATCTCTTCCTTTTATTCCTGCCAAAGGTCTCTGCTCAGCTTAGTTTTAATCAGCTGTTCATTAAGGAATAGGCTCTCCCACTGTCATGGGAGCCAGCATCCCAAAAAACAAGTACCACGGAGTTTGCTTCAAAAGACTTGCCCAGTACTATTTAAAACTGCTGCAGAAGAGAATCCACTATTTCCCTGATGTTTCTGCACGTGTTAAGCACACTTAGCAAAAATGGCTACAAATGATACTGCCAACAACCCTTAAAAAAATAATCTTGAGCAAATTACCCCCTCCACCGATTAATTCCAATAGATGTGGCATCTTATACACTGAAAGAATCATTAGAATCATAGAATCATTAGGATGGAAAACACCTCTAAAATCATCAAGTCCAACTGTCAGCCTAACAACACCATGCCTACTAAACCATCTACATGTTTTTTGAACACCTCCAGGGATGGTGACTCTACTACTTCCCTGGGCAGCCTGTTCCAATGTTTGACCACTCTTGCGGTGAAGAAATTTTTCCTAATGTCTAATCTAAACCCCCCTTGGCACAATCCGAGGCCATTTCCTCTCACCCTATCGCTTGTTACTTGGGAGAAGAGACCAACCCTCACCTCAGTACAACCTTCTCTCAAGTAGTTGTAGAGAGCGAGAACGTCTCCTCTCAGCCTCCTCTTCTCCAGGCTGAACAGCCCCAGTTCCCTCAGCCGCTCCTCGTAAGACCTGTTCTCCAGACCCTTCACCAGCTTCGTTGCCCTTCTCTGGACATACTCCAGCACCTCAATGTCTTTCTTGTAGTGAGGGGCTCAAAACTGCACACAGTATTCGAGGTGTGGCCTCACCAGTGCCAAGTACAGGGGCACAATCACTTCCCTGCTCCTGCTGGCCACACTATTTCTGATACAGGCCAGGATGCTGATGGCCTTCTTGGCCACCTGGGCACACTGCTGGCTCATGTTCAGCCGGCTGTCGACCAGCAGACCCAGCTCTTTTTCTGTTGGGCAGCTTTCCAGCCACTCATCCCCAAGCCTGTAACGCTGCACGGGGTTGTTGTGACCCAAGTGCAGGACCCAGCACTTGGCCTTGTTAAACCTCACACAGTTGACCTCAGCCCATTGATCCAGCCTGTCCAGAACCCTCTGCAGAGCCTTCCTACCTTCGAGCAGATCAACACCCCCACGCATTTCAGCGTCATCTGCAAACTCACTGAGGGAGCACTCAATCCCCTCATCCAGAGCAGCGATAAAGATGTTAAAGAAAACTGAGCCCAATACTGAGCCCTGCGGGACACCGCTTGTGACCAGCCACCAGGTTGATTTAACTCCATTCACCACTAATCTGTGCTCGGCCATCCAGACGTTTTTTTACCTAGCTTAGTGTACAACTGTCTAGGCCATGAGCTGTCAGCCTTCTTAGGAGAATGCTGTGGGAGACAGGGTCAAAGGCTTTACTAAAGTCCAGGTGGATGACATCCACAGCCTTCCCCTCATCGACTAGGTGGGTCATCTGGTCATAGAAGGAGATCAGGCTGGTTAAGCAGGACCTGCCTTTCATGAACCCATGCTTGCTGGGCCTGAGTCCCTGGTTGTCCTGCACATGCCATGTGAGCACCCTGAAGATGAACCACTCCACAATCTTCCACAGTACTGAGGTCTGGCTGACAGGCCTGTAGTTCCCTGGATCCTCCTTCCGGCCCTTCTTGTAGGTGGGCATCACACTGGCAAGCCTCCAGTCATCTGGCACCTCCCCTGTTGACCAGGAGTTCTGATAAATGTTGGAGAGTGGTTTGGCCAGCTCCTCCACCAGCTCCCTCAATATTCTCAGGTGGATCTCACCCGGCACCATAGGCTTGTGAGTGTCCGGGTGGCAAAGCAGGTTATTAACTGATTCCTCTCGAATTATGGGGGGTTTATTCTGCTCTCTGTCCCCATCTTCCAGCGCAGGGGTCTGATTACCTCTGGGATGGCTGCTCTGAGGCAAAGGCGGCATTAAGCACACCTCAGCCTTTTCCTCATCTTTGCTGGCAATGTTCCCCCTCCACATCCAATAGAAGATGGAGATTCTCCTTGGCTCTCTTTTTGTTGTTAATGTATTTGTAAAAACATTTTATGTTGTCTCTCACAACAGTGGCCAGACTGAGTTCTAGTTGGGATTTCTGCCTCTCTAATTTTCCCTCTGCATGACCTAATGAGATCCCTGTACTCTTCTTGCGTTGCCTGCCCCTTCTCCCAAAAGTGGTAAACCCTCCTTTTCTCCCTGAGTTCTACCAAAAGCTCCCTGTTCAGCCAGGCCGGTTGTCTTCCCCGCTGGTTTGTCTTACAGAACACTCCGTCCCCCTCAGAAGCGAATCACCTACAACAATTATCCTCCTTTCTTTCTTAACAGAGGAAGTCACAATGAGTCAGGCTGACTGACTCTCCCTAGGCAGCTCCCTG